CCTCAACGCTGACAAGCGGCGAAATGTGTGCTAGAAAACACAACAATAGGTAACTTTCGCCGAAATTGAGGTAGATGTAGATAAAAAGCAACTCGCAATAAATACAAGGAATCTGGATAACAGAAAAAACCCAAATCAATACGAGTTTGTGCATTTTGTTAAATGAATGGAATGGGTAACATATAGAAGGTTAATTCCTATAGCTGTGAAAGGATAAGATCGAGGGGCTATATATTTTAAATCCAAGGCAAGACACCACCCACCTTTAATAAAATTGATTAACGAATGGAGCTTCAAAGTATTCTAGCGGGAAATAGCTGTCTTCCCTGTCGTAAGTATGTAATGAGCTAGGTAGAAAATTTGAACAATCTGAAAGCATTTGCGTAAATCGTGGACGGAATGCATTTTAAAATGAGAACTCACATGCCAGGGCCAATTGTTGGGTTTGGCCGGGCGACTTCCGAGTATCTTTGTTTGCGCCGGCTTGGTGGTCGGACGAATACCGCATGTCTGGGACAGTTTTATCAACGTTTCCGAGGGCCCTCCTGTCGTAAAGCATAGTAGAAAAAGAAGTAAGGTGCTACAAAAACGCAAATCCTGTCGTCTGAAGTTCACTAGGCAGCAGCAACTTTACAGTACGGCCCAGAATTCGTGTAACAGTCCATCATATGCCAAAGACTGATACTCTCTCGGTAACCGGCATTGAGTAGGGTTGTAATATTGATTATCCTGGAGCCTATTCTAAAGTCATTTCAGTTACGATATGATGCCGGCTTCTTAAAGAGCTTCCCTCTGATCGCTAACAAAACGTATGTACTGAAAAAGGTGGTGACGTAAGTCGTATGCTTTTTTATCGTTGATTTTGACTGCTTTTATAAATCTAAATATATTTAATGGAAAACATGTACAACACGTTCTTTCTTATAATTGTTTGTTAGTGAGTAACACCTAATTTAGATGTGATATTTAAAGAAACGTGTCTGAGTTTATTTCTGGCCGCTAACAAAACGCATGTACGGTAAAAAAGGCTGTTTACGTAGTATGCATTTTAATCGGTGATTTTGACTGCTTTAACAGATTGAAATAAATTTTATGGAAATCTAAACGAAAAGATTATTTCTTCTACTCGTTTTAGAAAACATTACGCCTTCTTTTAATTTTATGCTCAAAGAAAGGGTATCTTCCGGGTTTAAAATGTTTCTAAATTGCCGCATAATTTTGAAACCTACTGACTGCTACGCTTGAATTCTAGCTTTACAAAGAGCGCGCTATGTACACACACTTTAAAGAAAAGTTCCTTATTACCTACGATTTGAGGAGGAAGTCACATAGTTCTCACAAAACAAATTGCAATAGATACGGATAAGGCTGTATACATTAAAGGCAGCATTGATAAATTGACGGATGTGGGGCACAATGAATGAATACCTCACAATCATACAAAAAGCTCATAATGAGAAACTTTTAAAGCACAAAGGAGCGCTTTCTTTAAATATAAAATGCGAAGAATGCGTTATTTTTTACCAAAAGAGTGCAGAACATAATCGTTTTTTATATTTTCCATAAATTATGTGTAAATTCATAAAAGCAGTCAACATCAATGACAAAAATGCATAGTTATTAAGTTGCCGTTTTTTACAGTTTATACGTTTTGTTAGCGGCCATAGAGAAGCGTGGTAAGAAGCCTGCATCATGTCCTGACTGAAATGACCTCAGAAGAGACTAAAACATTAATCAGTATTACAACCTTATTCCGATTAGCAGATTAGCGAGAGTGGCCGTATCCTCAATGCCAGGACAAGTGCTACTTTCTATTCTTCAATTACGACACATTGATGACTACCCATTCTTTCACTTATTTGTCAGTGCCAACGTATAACCTACTGGCTGGCAGACCGATTGACTGTAGGAATAATGTCGAGTTA